ATTGGCAAGTCTACAATAAATTATCTGTGAGATTAGACTTATCTTCCTTCTTGTTTCCACTTGGGACTGTAGTCATTTGCTGCATTTGGAACACGTTATTGTTAAGTTAGGAAATGCTTCATGAGTAGTGCAAACAAACTGAGATGATAGTAGAATGAAGATTCGGGCTATAGGGTCGTGATCTAAGTGAACTATTCTATCCAGACGTTTCGTCAGCTACTGAGGCTGACATCCTCAGTGGTAGTGCTGCGTTGACAACGTGAACGTAGATTATATCTGGGAGGCNGTTGATGCCCTAAATACGTGCGAAAGTACATCGATGACCACATAAAATTAATTTTTCTGTCCCTCGGGAACAGTATTCTTTGTCTGGATAAAAGGTACCCCATGTCCTTTACTGTACCCCTGATAATGTATGTATAAAATTTTATGAGTTAATAATATTAGTTCTAGGATTTGTGCCAAAATCTGTTGTGGATTTTCATGTTTAATGAAAATCAATCGAAAGAGAGCTTGGGTCGAACCGGGAGTGCATCTGAATAGGATTTTGTTTTTTTTTTTTTTTATTTTCAGGATATTGTTAGACTCAAAAGGACCGTAGAAAACATTATTTTTCTCATACTAAATCACGTTATTTTTCTATTTACAGAAACGCATTAAATTGCCATTTTTATATGAGTAGGTACTTCAAAAATGTTAGATATTTAACTAAAATCTTCTTGTATGAACATTGTATACTTTATAACTTATAATTTACATGTATTTCTTCAAATTATTATATGCCACAAATAAGCCCAATGAAAAGGAAGTTGACGTATAAAAACAGCTCATCCGTTCGAGAAAAAAAAGTCGTTTAGATAAGGTTGTACTTATAAAAACTATCTTAATGTCCTTCGCTTGGAGGAATAATAATACGATTTATTCTTACGTTAAAATCAGTCGAGGTTTAAACGTTTAAAGCACGGGTAGTTACAGCGTCAGGTGAATTAGCTTATTCGGTGTTTTGTTTTGTCGTATTTTAGCAAAAATGTGTCCCTATTGTTGTTTTACAGCAATCATCAACACGGATAGCATATTTAAGGTATGTAATAATAATAGGAACAACAATTTGATTTTTTATTCTATTGTTCAATATAATTTAACGTTCTGTATCCTTTGTTCTTTCTTAATATTATAACAAATATAAGATATGCATGTTACGTATTATTGTAATATTTAATAGAATATGCACAAGTTTTTATGAAGTAAATATTTGATGTTGTACATACGAATTTGCTGTAAATTACTACCTTGTTCTCTACAAAATATTGCAACTGTTGCTGAAAGCTATATGAAAATCAGTAGAGAAATACGTTCAAAGATTAACTCATTGCAAGATTTTGATACTTCGAACCTCTTATTGTAAATATTTTTTATTTAGGTAATTCTTAAAGTATTTTTTGTAAGCGATCATTAGGCTGCATCAATTTTTCAAAAATACTTTCTTTTATTGACAAGAATCGTTATGACAGTAATGTTAGTAAGTATGTACTTTAAACGTATGCATAGTAACGAAATTTTCCGTAAGAAAAAACCTTACAGTACAGTACTCAGAAGTTTTGTTCGTTAAACCATATCTGCTAACTTGACCAGGCAAATAATTTGCAGATATCAGTTATTACAGATTCGTAATAACATTACTCGTTTTTCTTAAAAGTAATTTAACTTTAATTACTAATTTTTATTGCTAAATGCAAGCGAAATGTTTATTTACTCCTAAACGAATGCTAGTAAAAATGAAAATAGACAACAAAATTTTATCTCTTAAAAATGAAAACATTTTGTCGCAGTTTTCTGGTTCTTAATAGGTAAATAAATTTTAATTGCAGTCCGATAAGGAAGCACTTCTAAAAGAATTTTTGTATAAATGTTCCATGAAGCTTTATTGTGGTTCAAAGGTTTCGCCATTTAGGGTTGAGTTCCGAAAAGAGACACCGTACGATTGACTTCCAATTTTTACCACATACTTTGTTATGAATTCAGTGATTTTCGGCGACTCTAATTGGAAGGGGTTCTTTTTGTGAGAGCTTAGAACATGCCCAATAAATGTATTAGGTTTTCTAGGAATCCTTTTGTATGTTTGCTTAATGTAATATACGGGTACGGTAGGAAAAGGCAACACAATTAAATGTTGATATGGTTAGGTCCTTCCTTTTGTTTGCAGGAATATGGACTCAAGAGTAATTTACTGAAATAGAAAATTTTTCTCTTAAACGGGGGCTTCTAGTTCGGTCAGGGGCCAATCTAAGGAGGGGACAGTCAGGTAATGCCCTGAAAAGTGGTTCTCTAAATAATATGATATTTTTTAGTATTTAGGAATTGTATAGATTTCCTAGGAATTATATACAATGACGGATTTCATACATTTCCGGTAACATATATGTC